ATTATGCATATTATAATCATATTACGTACGCATCTCATTTCAAAAATAGTTATTAATTATAATAAATATGGTCACTATTATCATTAATCATACATAAAACTATAAAATATAATATAATTATCTTTGAAAAACATAACGCAATGATGCATATTAAAATTTTTTACTATTCTAAAATTACACTGAGTTTAGTGAAAACTATAGATTTAATCTGTACAAAATGATTACAAACATCAAAACCAAAAACATTGTCTATTTTATACACATTTYCATGTTCTGGAATCACTATATTCTGTGTTCTATTGACAACATGTTAACCACTATGTTGCTTTGTTGGGGCCCAAATACGCAAGTCGAAAAGTTGCTTAGAATTATTCCCTAGTAATTACAGGTTATTCAGTGTTCAAACACTTCAAACCATAATCGAGTCATTTTATACTCATCCTCATCCATTGTTAAATATCTAAATAAATATATTTGATACAGGTACTTTTAGATACCTCCTTAGTTCTTAGAAGTTTTTCAAATATAAGGATATAAAATTTCATTCAAGTTATTATAAATATGCATCTATTGTAGTATTGTCCTATTTGAAATAATTTAAAGTTCCATATCTTTTATTTTAGTCGATACAAAAATGCTTAAGAGTCGACAATGGACATGGGAGTGTGTAGCCAGCCGACCACAATATTATGATTGTTATAAGAATAAGATATTATAGTAAGTTATTAATGTTGAATGTTGGGCAACTTGTAAGAAATAATAATTAGCGTTTAAATACAATGAACAGAACAAAACTGTGATAACCGTATTAATATAATTACTAAATACTAATTAGAGGTGGTTTTGGAGACTGSCGAGACTGGAGTAGTCAATACTCCCTCCAGTAAATCAAAAGTCCCTACCTACAGAAAATTTAAGGTGAATTAAAATAAAAGAGCACTTAAACAAGTAATATCAAATAAGTTTAGGCGAGAGGTGAGATTGTTTAAGGCTTTACGGCTTGCGCCTTTATCCTTATTATCATCCACCCAAGATGTAAAGGCACAGTTATTATGCTATTCTAAAAAGTATAAAATGACCGAGTGTCCGAGTTAAAAGCGGGCGCAGTGGGCGCACGCTGAAAAATAATCGAGTGACCGAAATTTTTGGTAAAAACACAACCACGGTTACCTGKGAGCGAGCTCGTCACAATGGCTCACCTCCACCATGGAGGTCACTCGTCTCGGCCAGCAAGGCAGCAAACATTGTTGTGAATTTTTAATATGATAAATTGATAACGATTAACGGCCCCCTTCGCCTCGTGCTATCATCGGCATCAGCTGCTGCTGCTGCTGCGGTGGAAGTCGATTTGTTTTTAATAGCAATTTAACGGAATTTCCGTCCGGACGGTGTGACAGACGACGAGACTAATAAATTCCAATTTCCAGTCCGCGCACTGCAACTGCAAACCAGTTACCAGTATTTTAATTGTTGTTATTTACGCCGTCGTTTTATGTTTTATGACTTATGACGATCTCACATGACGACAACGACCGGACCGGCACGGCTGCATCGGAACGAGTTTCGTTCACGATTATTTGAATGCAAGATTAAATAATATTATCATTTKACATTTATCATTATTTTTTTAGTATCATTGTCGTATACGCAGCTACGGTGTTAATTTTTTTTTTAAATTTCGATTTTAATATTTTTTATTTGTTTTTAAATTTTATTTAAACCTCCTTCTTATTATGAGATGAATTTCGCGTGAAACAACCAACATCCTGCTGATCAACCGCAATGGCCAAGTTCGTTGTAAGTATCGTAACCATTTTTTACTCGAGTTTTTCTATATAATTCATATTATATAATCATACCTTGTAACAATGCCAAATGCATTTTATTGTATCTTGGTTCTATTGATCCCACATACAATTTTTTCAATATAAATCCCATTTGATGCGGAATCATATTCCTGCTGTTTAAACAAATTAAAAACAAGTCTMAATTTTTAAAAGCTTATGGATGATAAAAATAGTATCTGTTGAATTATATAATGTTCAAATTGATTGTATTCTTTGTAAAGTTAAGCTAAATTATTTTTATATTTATTATTCAATTAATTTTTAAAAATGATTCATATTTGATACTACCTACTTCTTAAAATAAACTAATAATCTAAAGAACAATTAACATAAATACAATATACATAATATAAATTTGATGATTTCCAGTTAAAAGGGCTAGATGTGTGACATAATAAGTTATTTCTGTACTTTAATGTTCAAAGGTCCAATATATTTATTAAATAGGTAATTTTTAATACTTACGAACAGTAGATTCTATATTGTATTTATAATTCTATAGTTTATGTTAAGCTACTCTATAGAAAATTTATTTTCTCATAACAGTCATAACCATTGATTTCTATACTTCATTAAAAATTACAGTACGTTTAAATTATAATAACTATTGTTTGTAATGTAATAAAATATGTTGAAAATAATCACATTTCATTGTATATCGTCTAATTATAATGAATTCTTGATTACCTGTAATGAGCATCATTATGATCCTAAAGGCCTAAATAAATAAATTAGCCCTAAATAACTAAAATCTTTGGGAAGTACCATTATTTATATCATAATTAATTTTAAACAATATTTACTTTTTTAACAAAAAAATTAGGTGCCTAACTAATTACATGAAATCAAATTAAAAAACATTTAAAATTCTGCACATACCTATATTAATATCAATAATTTATTGAAAAAAAATCACAGATAAATTATGATTTCAAATGATGGCCATGTTCATATTATGTAGATATCTACTTTATTTTATTATAAATTAATTTAAATTTATATTATTTTAGGTTGAATTCTCTCCTCCGGAAAAAATTAAATCAGGGCCATACGATGTTACAGATTCAATCTTAAACTATCGTATGGTATTAGCACCATTTCAAAAACAAACTCAAGTAGAATTCAACAACATCAAATTCAAAGAAATTGCAGTGAGGTTTTTAACAGTTGTCAATCCTCTTGACAGACCTGGACAGGTTAATAATAAATATTGATACTTATCTTAAAATAATTGAATCTACTAATTCTATATTTTTAATTATAATGATAAATATTACCTTCTTAATAATTGCATAAATTTATTAAATAATTACAGTTTGTTTTACCTCCTCCAAGTGATGGTGTTTATTTTGATGTTTATGAATTCACCTTAGAACCTAATTCAGAACGTGAGTTATCAATAACTTGGCAACCATCTCACCATGGAAATATGCGTAAATTAATTAGAATAGAACAAGTCGATAATAATAAAAAATATGATTTTGTTATTTTGGGAAATTGCAATAGTCCTCCATTCAAAAAGTTTAAGGTATGTCTTTAACATATTAGTTCGCAACAGTTAGTTTATGATTGGTGTATTACAAAATTTTTCTAAATTTCTAAATGTTACCATTTAATATATTTCTAGGATGCTAGATCAAAATCAAAAATTTCAAATTTCACTCAAAAGCAATCTAAATTTGGTCTGGAAAAAGCTCGGGAAAAGATACTGCCAAAAAAAACTGAAAATATCAGTTCTAAGAATGAAAAAATTATTCTTGTAAAAAACCCTGCGAATATACCAGAACCCATTAGTGAAGAAACACAGCCTATTAGGCGGCAAACATATTTAGTTGGAGAAAAAGAGAATCTTCCCATTTCAAAAAAGAATATATTAGGTAGGGATACAATACTTAAAAGTCCAGAACGTAGTATTAAACGTCCAGATCAGAGACGTCAAGATCATGTTTTTAATAAACATTTTAATTTAAAGAATCCAAACAATAGTTGTAGCTCAATGAGTGATGATTCACTAGAAAACCCGTCGAACAATATTATCTTGAATATTTCTCAATTAAATGAATTCTGTTTAACAMCATTAAAAAGCACTGAGAACTTACTTTCTCCATTCAGTGTCAAGAAACAATTAAATAATTTTGATGGTAGAATGAGTGTTGATGTCACTGATGGACCATTGGATTCTTCTTTATCAAATCCTTCAATGTTTCAACCACAAGATGAGTTGACTGCAGCTTTGACTTATATTCCAGAAAATCAAAAGCCAACTGTGAATCTCTGGGATAAATTTTTAAAATCACCTGAAAATAAATTAACTAAYGGTTTTATAAATGATAGATTACCTACTACCAACTCACAACCATTTGTATCTTCGGAAGTTGAATCTATCGACTTTGAACAAAAATGCAAATGGTCACCTACACATCCTGTTCATCGGCGTACAAGTAAAGTTATAAATTATCATAAAATCTATTATAAATAGTAATATTTAAATTTATTAATGTGTCTTTTATTAGTTTTTTTTACGTTACAGTGATTACTTGGAGTGGTACAAATCCAAAAAGACCGTCATTTTCTATTAAGTATTCTTCTCCTTATTATAAATGTAGTCCAAAAACATCAATGACATCTAAGAACAAAGTGAAACAATGCAGTAAGTAAACACTATACATTATTTAGGTTACGGATCAACGATTATGGGTGTGTGTACTTGCTTAAAATCCAATTTATTAAATGATAGATTTATGTTATAGCCTATCCTTGAATAATATTATCTTACTATGTACTGAATAAAACTCATTGAATTATAAACATTGTTAAAGGTACAAATCTACGAACAACACGTTTGAAAACTCCTAAACTAGATAAGTATGATGAATACCTTAAGTGCTTAGCGAATCCACAACTCTTATACCACAATAATGCTGAAGACCCATTTTTAAAAATGTAAGTAAAATCATTAATCTATTATATGTTATGTTCACTACATTACAATAGGATAGAGTATACAATATTTTAAAATGTATGCCTAGTTAATCATTTAAACTGCTTCATTATTTCATTAATTAAATTTTAAATACAGAGATTAAGTTAACACCAAATAGGTTTTTAATATAATTATTATGATTTCAATTTAGAATAATTTGATTAAATTTGACTAGAAATTATTCAACTATAGTGCATTGCATGAATTTCTTTGCATAATTAAATTTAATTCAATCAATAAATGATAAATATCCTTTTTCTTTTTACTATAAATTAATCATTGTATATAGTATTTATTTCAATAATTAATTAAAATACATTATTTCATTACCATTTCATTGATATTATATGGATTAACATTTTCATTGTTTTTGATTAATTAATAATAAATACCATTTAGGTCTGAATATTATGAAGCAGAATGGCTGGACCGACAAGAGTCTGACATGATTCGTTGGTTAAATGCCATGCTCACGCCAACTGAAAAACTGGTAGATGAAGAACAGTCTAGTGACTTAGAGCAAGCAGCTATGGCTTGGGTAGAAGCATCCAAGACATCTCATAAAAATAAACCCATGCAATTTGCCACTCAAAAGGATCTATTTGTTGCACAAATGTACCGGCAATCACCACAACAGTGGAGCGCATTGCGCAAAGCCACGACAAATCTTATTACATCTTCAAATGTAACATCTGTCCTATCAAAATTAACCGTATCAATCGAAAAAGATCTCATTACTTTAAGAGATGATCGTCAAATACATTTGGACTTAAGTGAGATTTGTATATTTATAGTTACCAAGTTTCAAATTTAACTTTTATAATTAAATATAAATATTATTTTCTTTTTAGGTTTAAAGAAAAAAATTATTGATCTGCTTAAATGTTACAATCCATTATGGTTTCGAATTGGTTTGGAAGCTATATATGGTCAAATTGTTCATATAAAACCTGGATCCAATGATTTAGATGGCATTGGCTGGTTTGTTCGTAAAAATCTGTTTAATAACGATTATGTCAAACAGAAATTTACCAAAACCACTGTACTCCAAGTAAACCTGCCTTCATATAATGTAAGAAAAAATATTTGTATCTTCCACTTTTTTTATGCATATATTCTATTGTACTTAAGAAGAAATAAAAAATAAATATTTACAGGTAAAACTAAGTTATCTACAGACTGTCTATTTTTATAAGGCTAATTTATTATTTTTTGTATAAAAATATAATATCTTGCCTTGTATTTTTTAGCTATCTTCTAATAACTTCATGACATTTCAATTTTCAGTATTTTAATTATTTTTTATTATCATGAGTAAGAGCCATTACAACCGATCAGAGATCGGCTACTTGTGAGTTGCATATAGCCCCCATTATAGTATGTCATCTTATGTGGTCCACAATTAAATTTGTATACAAATAAACTAAGATAGTATGGACTGCAAACTAAGATTAAAACATAACTTAATAGTTACTAACTTAAATTAACTAAATTTGATATAATTATACATTTTTATTTGAATTCAACAATGTATATTAAAATGATGTCCAGCAAAAAATGTTATATATAGTTTTTATGGCCTTTAGCATCAAAAAGGTTACCAATCCCTGACAACAATTATTGGATTTTTATGTTAACAACGTGTTTATACAGAGATTATGTTTTGTTTTATAAAGTTTTACATTTTATTCCAAATATTTTAAATTGTGAACAGATGGAAATTGTATACAGCATGTCAGCAATTGTTTTGATATTTAATACTATTACTTTTTTTTTACTGTAGGCTGCCATGAAAAAGTTTATTTTAAGAAAGATATTTATGCTCATTTACTTTTTGGACCGTGCTAAAGAGCAACAATTGATCAGACATAATCCGTGCTTGTTCAAAACAGACTCACCATATAAAGTTAGTGATTTGATAATTTTATAAAATCTATTTCAAAAACTAATTGATACTTGTTTTCATTCACAGAGTAGCTATGACTTATTGATGGGATTTTGTGCCGACATGGTAACTGCGCATGGAGACATAGTTCGTCGACTGAGAAGTATTGGTTACAATTTGACACACAAACAAACACATTTGGATGAAGTGAATTATGCAGTTAAGTCTCTAAATGATCTAAGGGATGGTACTAGAATTACTAGGGTTGTGGAAATTTTATTTAAAGGCAATCCTTTGTCACAAAAACTAAGACTTCCGGCTATATCAAAGTTACAAAAAATTCATAATGTTAATTTAGCCTTCACACGGATATCTGAACATATATCCATCGAGGGCAACATAAGTACTCGTGACATTGTGAATGGTCACAGAGAAAAAATTCTATCGTTATTCTGGCAGATTATCTACAAGTATTTAACCCCACGGTACAATAACGCTGCTACGAAAATCCAAAATTGGTGGAGAAATAGCAGTCTGAAACTGGTCATATCCAAAAGAATCCGAGCCAAAACGATTGCCAAGCGTCACTTAGCCGCCTCTAGTATACAAGCTTGCGTTCGAGGCTATTTTACTAGGAAAAAATGGCCTCAATTGCAAGCTGAACTTGTTGAAAACCGTAAGATGTTGCACGCGGCTTCCACTACAATCAAACATTATTTTAAAGAGAAGTTAAAACTATTGACAGAAGAACGAAAACGGTTTATAATTTTAAGGAGAACGGTTGTGTTTGTGCAGAAAAAGTATAGAAACAAAATGGTTATGGTTAAAGAGCAACAGAAATATTTAAAATTGAAACAGTCAGCGATAATCGTCCAAAAGGTGTTTCGAGGATTTTTACTGAGGAAAAACTGGCATGGAATCAAGAACATTCAAATTGCGGAAAAAACGGAACGAATTGCTGCCGTCAATACGATTAAGCGGTTGTTGCGAAAGAACTTGCCACCGACACAAGACCGTTTAACATTTTTGAAGTTAAAACGTACCGTGTTATACATCGAAAGTCGGTACGTTGCAAACAAAATGATGAAACTGCAAACGGAACGTTACACTGCTCTAAAAAGCTCAACGTTATTCGTGCAAAGACTATTTAGGGCCAACGTGGCGATGAAAAAAGAACGGGAAAATTATTTAAAAGCCAAACGGTCGGCTTTGATGGTCCAAAAAGTGTTTCGTGGTTTCGTGACGAGGAAACATTGGCCAGACGCTCGAAACCGTTTGTTGTCGGAAAACGAGAGACGGGTCGGCGCCATAAACACGATCAAGCGGTTGTTACGGAAAAGTCTGCCGCCGACACATGACCGTTTAACATTTTTGAAGTTAAAACGAACCGTGTTGTACACCGAAAGTCGGTACGTTGCAAACAAAATGACGAAACTGCAAAGGGAACGTTACGCCGCTTTAAAAAGCGCTACCGTGTTTGTGCAGAGACGGTTCAGGGCCAACGTGATGGCGGCAAGAGACCGAGAACGCTTTTCGAACTACCAACGGTCGGCCGTGCTGATACAAAAGACGTTCCGGTGTTTCGTGGCCAGAAGGCGTTGGCCGGCGACGCGAGCACGGCTGCTGTTGGAAAAAGAGAGACGCGTCGCGGCCGCGAACACGGTGAAACGAGCGCTGAGGCGGAACCTTYCGACGACCCAAGACCGAGCCGACTTCGTCCGGCTGAGGACCGCAGCTCTATTCGTGCAGCGGGCATGGCGAGCCAAGCATCTGATGATGGTGCAGCGGGAATGGTACACCACATCGCAATACGCCACCSTGTACGTCCAGCGGACGTTTCGGGCGAAGGTCGCTATGAGGTTGGGCCGCCGTGAGTACCTGAAGGCCAAACAGTCGGCGGTGCTCATCCAAAAAGTGTACCGCGGTTACGTGGCCAGGCGTATGTGGCCAGACGTCCGGGACCGGTTGGCCGCTGAACGAACGGAGCGGATCCGGGCCGTCGACGTGATCAAACGGGCCCTGCGACGCTGGTTGCCGTCCACCCGAGACCGTCTGAACTACGAACGGCTGAGACGGTCGGTGGTGGCCGTTCAGAGGCGGTACCGGGCGAACGTCGTTATGCGAACACAGCGTGAAGTGTACCTTATGCTCAGATGCAGCGTGTTGGTGATTCAGCGACAGTTCAGGGCCAACTGCAAAGCGAGACGCGACCGCCACCTGTACATGCGACTCAAGTTCGTCGCTGTCGGACTGCAGGCAGCCGCTCGGGGCCACTTGTTTCGACAGTTGCGGTGGCCAGCACTGATGGTCGAACTGGCCAGCCGTCGCCTGCTGTTGACCCGATGTGCCAACATCGTCAAGCGAACCTTGAAGAGACGGCTGGHCATCGGTGATCGACGACGGTTCCTGGAACTTCGGCGTGCTGCTGTCACAGTCCAGAGTTGGTTCCGCGGTCGTAAGCAAGCCCACGAGTACGCCGAACTGCGTGGCGCCGCCGTGACTGTGCAACAGTGGTTTCGGGCAAACTGGGCTGCAAGACTGCAACGAGCGAAGTACTTGCGCATACGCACTGCGGTGATCGTGCTACAGGCCAACACCAGAGGACATCTGGCACGTGTCAGGTGGCCTGTTGTAAAATGCGGCCTACAAGCGCACAGAGATGTGTTATCCGCGGCCAGCAATACGATCAAAAGGTTTCTGCGCCGGTGCCTGCCAATTACTTGCGAACGTTCAGAGTACTTGCGCCTGAAACAAGCTGTGGTCGCAGTACAGACTCGGTACAGGGCCGTGGTCGCAGCAAGGCGAGGTCGGGGGGAATACCTGCGGCTGAGACAGTGCGCTATCGTGTTACAGAGACGGTACAGGGATCGTAAAGCCATCCGGGCGGCGATCTTGTTGCAGGCGTATGTCCGTGGATGCATAGTCCGCCGCCAGTGGCCGCAACTCAGGCACCAATTGGCAGCCGAACAGAAACTTGAGGCAGACTCAAAATTAGTAAGAGTTCCTTCTTTTGTTGTTTTATTTTTTTTTTCGTATATTGTTTTTTGCAAAACGTAGTCAACTAATTAACTAATCATAGGCGCGAAAAAGGAGGCCAATATAAATATGAGCCTTACCCCCCTCCCCCTAAAAAAAAATAAAATCTCAAACAATGGGACTAGGTAATTAATTATATCATGCTTTTGTGTTATGTGTAGGAGAAATACAAGGCTGCGTCCACTATACAAGCAGCTGTTAGAGGATTTTTAACCCGCCAGAAATTTCCCAGGATCAGAAATGAGCTAATGATAAAGAAACGTGTGTGTGCTGCCACTAAAATACAGGTGTGTTATAGGTATTATATAAATACACAAAGTTCAAAGTTCTAAATTTAGATTGGTTTTTTTAGGCCCTTTGGAGAGGTTACTGTGTTCGAAAAAAATACCAGTGTCGTCGTGATACTATCAGAATGCCCAGAAGAAGTGCCCAGACGTTAGGCAGGAGACACAATGATGTTGTGGACATATTAAAAAAGCAAAAGAGAAATGAATACTCATACAAAGAACTTGCAACAGTCTTTTGGAACTTGGGTGAGTGTGTACTTAAAAGTGTGTTACTCCTAAACCAGTGATCTCTTGTTTATTAAATCCAAATTTTTTGCATTTTAGACACTTGTACGTCGTTATCCAAAGAGCTATGTATGAAAACTGCTGAAGGTGCGATTGTAGATTACATTTTCCGTTTTCTGCAATATTCCAATCAATCACAACCGAGTATTGAAGCCCGTGAACCTGCCATTCGAGTACTCATTAATTTGCTTAGGTACCACGAAACGTCGTGGATCATTTGGACAGTGTGTTAAAATAACTTATTAATTTTATCATGAACATTTAATTAAATAATAGTGAATCATACTTGAATTTGTTTCAGAGAACTGTAAATGCTGACATGGTCAAAGAACTTATCAAAATGATGAAGATGAGCTGTGGAAAGTTTGGTTCAGCAAATAAATTATTTTGTTTGATAGCCACTTTGATATGGATAGTTTTGCAAGACCCCAAAAAGAAACAGGTAAATAATTATACATTCAGTTAACATGCAAACACAATCTTTATTAATCTTGTTAAATTAAAAGAATAATATTTACTATGTATTATATTATATATTATATTATATTATATTATATTATATTATATTTACTATATAATATTTATATGTATGCTTGCATTTTTATAGA